GAAATCATGAGTGAAGAGCTCTGTGTTGGTTGTCAGGTACAATTTGAAATGCCTGTGAAACATTTAGGAGGGTTTATTAAATGTGCAGTAATCATGGTGTTGACAGTGTGTCCTGATAAATCATGGATGATGAGTATTCACCTCTGTAATGCAGTGAATCCGAGAAGTCTCTCCGCGTGTGTTTGGGACTGCACATCTCTCTTGCGAACTGAATGCTGTTGAAGGCTGGACAGTTGAAGAACATCAAAGTCTGACAGCAATGAGCTGAGATGGTCTGAAAGAAGTCATGGGAAGCAACTTTATGGGCTACATATTACTGAATGATGAATTTGGTTTCAAAGAAAATTAAGACATTTTCAAGTATTAGAGCTTTTGAAATTTCACAATTCTGCACAATCGACATCTCACAATTCTAACTTTATCCCTCAGAAATATTTATGGTTAACAATTTATACTTCATCAGATGTCTGAGTTTTTTTTTTTTATAATTCTGAATTAATTTAGGCGACGCAGTCGTGCAGTAGGTAGTGCTGTCACCTCACAGTAAGAAGGTCGCTGGTTCGAGCCTCGGCTGGGTCAGTTGGCGTTTCTGTGTGGAGTTTGCATGTTCCCCCTGCATTCGCGTGGGTTTCCTCCGGGTGCTCCGGTTTCCCCCACAGTCCAAAGACATGCGGTACAGGCTAATATTGACCGTAGTGTATGAGTGTGAATGATTGTGTGTGGATGTTTCCCAGAGATAAGTTGCGGCTGGTAGGGTATCCGCTGCATAAAAACACGCTCGATAAGTTGGCAGTTTATTCAGCTGTGGCGACCCAGGATTAATAAAAGGACTAAGCCGAAAAGAAAATGAATGAATGAATGAATTCATTAAATAATTTAAATGTACTTTATTTACTAATTTATATGTTGCAATTTTGGGTGACACAGTGGCTGAGTGGATAGCAATGTCGCCTCACAGCAAGAAGGTCGCTGGTTAGAGTCCCGGCTGGGTCAGTTGGCATTTTTGTGTAGAGTTTGCATTTTCTCCCCATGTTCGCATGGCTTCCCCCCACAGTCCAAAGACATGCACTATGTGTGAATTGGATGAGCAAAATTGTCCGTACTGTATGTGTGTGAATGAGTGCGTATGGATGTTTCCCAGTGATGGTTGCAGCTGGAAGGGCATCTGCTGTGTAAAACATATGCTAGATAAGTTGGCGGTTCATTCCGCTGTGGCGACCCTTGATAAATAAAGGAACTAATCCAAAGGAAAATGAATGAATGAATGAATGAACTTACATTTAAAAAATTAAAGTCGGAATTTTAAGTTAAAAAGTCAGAAATATGCCAAGCTTCTTTTTAAGCCGTTTTCACTAACACAAAGGAAAATAGGCTTACCATATCTGCAGAATGTTATACTAAATATTTACTTATTTTTCTTAAATTACTGTAAATGGTTTTACTTAAAACCGCTAATTACATATAGTACATCAACAACTTAGCAGGAACGCCAAGGTCACCGATTCAGTAAATAAGCCAGAGCACTGGTGAAGAACACATCGCATGCAATGTCATTAATTTGGGTAACAGCTTTTCAACAAAATGTTTGCCTTAAGACATTACATTCAATGATATGAACCAGGAAATTGAAAATACAGCAAGGTATTTGGTAGTTATAAAGACGTCACAAAAAACACTCAACCTTTCGATTCAAACGTGTCCGCAATGTTTTCAAAGTGTTCCCATTCCCAAAAAAAAAAAACTCACCGTACTCGTCGTCTCGGACATCCCTAATGGGTCTCCTTGAACCTTCCGTCAAAAACAAAGACGCCAGAAAGAAAAGGAGTCGTTTCATGGCGAGGACGTTAAAGCAGCATACGGTACTTCACACAACAGCAGCAGCCGCATTTAATCCCGCGGATTATCAATCTGCCCGAGATCAACATCTGGACACGGCCAAACTAATGTACACATCTGTCTGGATCAAACAAACACACAACGACAAAACACACAAAACTGAGGAAGAACAAACCCGCGCTCACTTCCAGACGCCCGTCTACATGGCGCTTGATGTTATAAAGAAAGAAAAAGATTGACTCAAAAGCAAATCAATCCAACATCTGAGAAAAAGTGAAACACCCGGAAGTGTTTAATGTGGGATGGATGATCTGATTCACCGCGCGCCAGGAAATCCCCAATAAAGTTTATCTGGAGATCGTGTGAAGGCGTTTTCAAAACACTGATATGAAGAGAAGTCGACTTTAAATTAAGTAACGTTACGCAGCGTTTTAAATGGGTTTTAGACAGGGTCTCCGCAGTAGGAGTTACGTAAGAGGATAAACTCTCGGTCTGTGGTTTAAAGCCTCACTGAGCTGCCTATCTAGTCAGCATTTGCTAGGCGTCACGGACGAGTGAGTGATGTGGAGAGGCAGTGCGCTCACTAAGTTGAGAACACACTCGGTCTCGTCTAGACTATTTTTAAATTCTTACCTCAAACCATGTGAAATTCACCACAGCGTCGGGACACATTTGGAGAACAGTATGAGGGCAACTGTAAATGAGCGTCATGGATGTGACATTTGCAGTAAAACCTTAACACAAATTCACAGAGTATTTGTTAACATTATATTAAAACAGATGTATATATTTTGCAAAACTACCAATCACAGAGTTATTAGATCAGATAAACCTCAAGCTGTACATTTTTTTTTATATTTTAAATGAGGTAAGTAAACATGCGTTATAGATCATGTGTGACCAAAGTTAGCGAGTTTACAGTATAAATCCAGGGAATTAAACTGAACAACCCAAAGGAAATAATGCTCATCAAAAGTATAAAAGATGGCTCTCTGTAGAACAAACATCATTGATTTTATTTGACATTTTTGCATTTATGAGGGAAACTCTTCGTTATATGTGACATCTTTTAAAAACTTTGACAAACATTTTTGAGTATTTTTCAAGCATTGTTAAATACAAGCCTAAACAAAACAACTTAGAAAGGGGTTTCATTGGTTTCTTGGCAACGTTGACATTTGCATAGAATTGCTCAAATCTTTTCTTTAGCTATTATTGCTAACTGCATTCATTTTTTATACAATCACTGAACTTGAGTAGGCATGGGCCGGATTCTAATATCACAGTTTCACAGTATTGTGATTACTGCTCTAAAATATATTCTTTTAAAATGTCACTTGTAAACTTTTCCCTTTGGAAAAAAAAAAAAAAAAAAAATATATATATATATATATATATATATATATATATATATATATATATATATATATATATATATTTGGAGAAACATTTTAAATACTTTGAAGCAGTAAACATGTCAGGCTAAATAATGTAAGTGAATCATTGACCTCTGCTGTCTTCATTAAATTCTTTACAATTTAAAACAGCATCTTTGTTGATCTTTTCTACTGTATACTGTTGTCCTAAAAACAAAAACTAAAAACGTAAATAAAAAAAATCTTACATATATACCATAGAAACGGTATAGGAGAAAATGGGTGGTTTCAAAATCTTTCCAAACCGCTGTATACCTTGAAAACAGTTATTGTCCCATGCCTACTTGAAACTATCCTTGGGTCAGAGAAACAAACAAACAAAAAAAGGAATTGCGTAATGAATTTCCTCGAAGTACTCAGTTTCTTTTACTAAATCCAAATGAGATTTATGTGTCTTTTAAATATGCAAGTGTACTAGCAAAACCTGACAGGTTATTTTTAGAAATGCACATTTATTTTTTTTCACTTCCTGGAAAATGTATAACATTTCTGTAAAGTGATGCTAACAAAATAAAGGGGACAAAAATAAACTTTATAATACAGTGGGAAATGCATATAACCAATAATAATGTATAGAACTACTTGAGATGTTAAAGGGCACATATTTTATCCTTTTTTTAAGATTTAAGATGAGTCTTTTGTGTCTCCAGAATGTGTCTGTAAAGTTTTAGCTCATAACACCCATCAGATTATTTATTATACCATTCAGAATATTTTCTGCACTGAACACGATGTAGCTGTTTTTGTTGCCTGTGCGTTTAATGCTAGTTCTCCCCACCCACCGTTCCCAAGTGCCTATCAGAGTGTTTTTCGTCTGCATCAAATAAACAGCACAGTGACAGACATGAAGAAAGCAGATCTCATGTAACGTTTGTGAGAAATACTACAGTAAGAACTTTCCCAATGATTATTTAATGTATTTGTTATGGATTTAGTTCAGCAACGATGTCACACAATGTCGTTACAAAGTTCACGCACATGCATAAACATAAACAGCTTCTCACTATTTTTGCATGGTAAATGTGACAGGATACACGTTAATATCCATTGCTGTATGGATACCTGTAGAATAAACCTGATTTAACATCCACAAACCGTGATTGAAGCTTTTTTTTATAATCGTACTGACATGCGGCTGTGGTGATGAAGTAGACGGTAAAAATTACTGTAATTCATTACAAACATGCACGGTTTTAAAAACATTTTAAACTTGTAAAACTCATTCTTGATCACATTTAATGATGACTGATGATCACAGAGAGCTGAACAGATCTTTTAATCCCAGTTGCTTTGCACAAGTCCTGTCTTGTTGATAAGATTATGAGTTACTAAGGAGACATATTAATATGCGGCTGTCAATCAACTTGGCAGGTGGAAAAACCACACTCTTACATCACGTTGTGGTGGGCCTCAAACAATGAGGGATTTGGATCATATTTTAACATCAGGAAATAGGGAAGAAAAAAAAAGACTTATTGTCTCTATATCACCCTAATATGACTGTAGACACACTATACCTACTGCGCACAGTTCTGTCCAAACAACTTACAAAAGTTGATCATATGTGCCCTTTAAATGGGAAGACAATAAAAATAGGCACCAATCTGCATACTGTCAGCGAAAACAAACACATTTGCCATTAAAAACAAATCTTAACTACAGGAATGCAGCCAAGACAAAACCCAGCATCTCACAAATATTGTACAAAAATTTCAGGACACATGCGAGTGGTTTATAAAATGGTCATTTTAATTCAGGTTACATTGCTGTTATGCAGGGCTTGTACATTTTCACAAGGCTTTTTTAGGGGGGGAGGGGAGGACTACAGTCAATGATTAGCAAAAACACAACAGTGGTCCAAATAACTATCGACATCACTTGACAAATCAAACATTTTCTCAACATGTGCATAAACCTGCAATGAAAAAAGTACATAACCAAACTGTGGAACATGTATGCAGTATTTGTTCCCATTCCAGTGTATATTGAAAAATGGGCATGCATGACTTTTTTTTTTTTGTTTAATCTATTTATATATATTTTTCTTTTTCACTCATCACAAGCCAAATCACATTAAAGTGAAAACCATAACCAGGCAGGAGTGTTTAGTGACCTTCGAGATGAAGGGAGACGCAATTCAGATGGCCGATGAAAAGTGCATACTTGGCTAGCTGACTTGGTACATCAGAAAACAGCCTTCCTGCTATCAATACTAAAGCACAGGCCCATTGTAAGCCACCACTAAGAAAGTCAACAAGACGTTTATCTCATTCAAGTGCATGTTGATCTTCCTAGTGAGAAGTATAATGAAACATGATATAGCAGGACAAGAACTAGCCATGCTTGAGGCAAAAATCGCTTTGCATTTTGTGACCAACACTACCAATGCTTCATTTCACCAGAATATACACACTAGTCGCTTCGTGTCACAATTAAAGACAATTGATTTTATGTGAGGCTAATACTCTTCTACAGCAGACACTGCACATAAAGAAGGACAAAAAACACAAAACTGAGGAATGGAGATGTTACTTTAACTTAATATTTTCTACTTTCATTACAACCACAAGCCAGGAGGTGGAGAACGGAGAAAGAAAATGGACTGATTTGGATTCCCACACTCACGGCTCATTGGTAATGATCATGGGCTTATATGGCTGGAGTAATCATGAGTGAAATGATAAAGGAATGAAGAAGTGTAAAAAGTTGTTTTTTCTTTTTCTGTTTTTTTTTTTTTAATCTGTGGGTGTTTAGTTCTCTCCTCCGTCTCCTCCTTCACCCTCATCTGCAGCGTTGTCAGAGGTCCATAACTATTAAAGAAAGGGGAGAAAAGGTGTGCTTGAGTACTCAATATCTCCATTTGGAATCATCAGCATAAATGACTGCAATACAAGTTAAAGGTGCAGTATGCAAGTTTGACACCCAGTGGTTGAACTAGGCATTACATTCCTGGATCAAAACGCAGGCGCCAGTTTCCAGACTGATGGCCAACTGGAGCGGGTGACAATCGAGCACAACAGTGTTTAAACGGTGTTCTAAATAAAAGCAACAGCACATGATAGATAAATATTCTCCATATTAAAAGAGGTTTGTTTGAACGAACACCTTTAATTAATATTTTAGAAACGGCTTCTATCTCTTGCTGCTGAACAACAGGATAAACGGACAATGATTACCTCAGGTACACCTCATGTGCTGTATTGTGTTAAATGGTAAAAATGTGAATTTGAAAGCCATTTTACATGATATTTATTGCCGCACTACTGAAAGCAGCAGCAGATCGTGAAAATAGATTAAACTGTTTTAAACTGAACTTCAGAACTGTGAACCATCACATAGTGATTCAGCATGTACATTTAATGATGTTAAAGAGGATTAATATGTATTACCATTTTGTGAGTGAGTGTATATTCTGAATATACTTCTGAATGGCTGTATTTAAATTTCTGTCATGTTTCATCTGGTGCAAACAGCCAAATTGAGGTGGCATTTCAGTCACAGGCGCATGCTTTAAGAGTCCTTCTGAATGCATAAAGGAATGAAATACGCAATCTTCTAACAAGGCAACCCTGAGTGCTGAAATTTCATTGGCTAAACTAGCATTAGGGGGGTTAAAGAGACCAAAACAAAGACAGATGATTCAGCATGGAACGGCCATTTTCAAAGCAGAATATCTGACTTTAGCATCGGTTTTCAGGTAAACAAGAATGTTTCCTTAGCATGTTTCTCAAATATCTGCAAACATATTATATTATGGTATCTTTATGCTTTAGAAGAGTCAAAAACTTTGCACCTTTAACATTTTGCAGTATCTGAGATTTATAACTTACTGTGAGGTTGTCCCGAAGCAGTTGCATGATAAGTGTACTGTCTTTGTATGAGTCTTCATTCAGTGTATCCAGCTCTGCAATAGCTTCATCAAACGCCTGTAAAACACAAGGCCACAAATAGGTTAAGGTATGTGCTCAAAACACAATCAAGCAGCTGGTATGCGAACTGTGCGCCTGATGAAATTCAAAGCTTGAAGAAGAAACAAAAAAATGTAAAACTTCTGAAGGACAAGTGGGTAAAATTCCACTGGAAATTCCCCTTCATTGAGTTAAAGGGCTAATTAAAGGTGAAGGGAGTCACTTCCAGTGCTCAAAAGCACATAACAGAATGTAAATAATTTGGAGAGTAAATTCTCTTGCTAAACAGGTAGTCCCATCCCAAACTTAAATTACTGGACGAGCTAGAAGTTGATTTGTAAGAAATAAATTTTTTTACAAACTTGCCCTTTAATACTTTTTGTACACTTTGTACAATTATGGTCTCTCCCAGTTAAACAATCATCAAAATTAACTCAATTGTATGGTTGTGGCTCCTAAATAATGTTCCTACAAACTGTGAGAAGAGCTCAAACATGTTGATCGTCATCGTCTTTAGACTGAAGTCAGAAATGTAGGATGACCATCTCACTAGATGTTTGCTGCCATCACCAGTCTCAAAGTCCCTTTAAGGCATAGGTCTCAAACTCAATACCAGGAGGGCCGCAGCTCTGCACAGTTTTGTTCCAACCCTAATCAAACACACCTGATTCAATTGATCACGGTGTTCAATAGTCATGAACACCTCAGTTAGTTCGATCAGCTGTGGGAAACGTCAAATTCTCTAAAACTGCTTGCCAAGCTGATGATTTAAGTTCTTATTAAGAATCACCAATAAAATTAAAACCGTCTCTTTAGTTTCATCTTTTAACGTCCAAGCCCCTGCCCCAGAGAATCTTCAGTCTATAGCGATCACCAGTTGGCGACAGTACAAGGCAGCGGGGCTTTATTTGCTATATAGACCATTACACTTTTTCCCCATTCAAAACTATATGAGGAACACTCTTGTGTATTCTATAGTCTTTGCCCGTCTACTGACTTGTCAAAGAAAAAGGTGAACAAATACTACAGAGGTGAAAAAAGAAGACAACAACATAATCTCAATTAGGATATTAATCTAGTGGAGTTGCTGCAGCAGTTTTAGCATGTACAACTTGCCCTCGAATTCAGGGGTGCCCAAGCAATGTCCTGCATAGTTCAGCTCCAACCCCAATTAGACACACCTGAACCAGCTGATCCAGTTCTTACTAGGTGTACCTGAAACTTGAAAGCTCCTCAAAGAAATTTCAAAGGTGTGTTGAAGCAAGTTGAAGCTAAGCTCAGCAAGACACCGGGCCTCCAGGACACAGATTGGGCAGCTCTGCTTTAAGTTTATCATCTGCTGTGTTGGTTCACCTCTAGCTAGCATATGAAAATGACATTGCTGGGGGGCTGCCAGCTGTTATTAACAGAAATGCTGTTGTTAATGTGTGTTGAAATATGTTTAGTCATAATTTGATAATTAAATAAGGAAAAATAAATAAATTAGGTTGAATCAGGTGTGTTTGAGTAAGTAGACATGCAAAACAGGAACATGGTTGCGATCAACTGTGATAGAAGAGAAGTGACTGCTGGTGCAGGTGTTAAGACACTCATGCTTGTGTGGGTTATGGGTGCTTATCCACAGGCCCCCCACAAAATTAAATTGGTATATATAACGTAGAAGCAACAAGGATTGGGTTATTATAAAGGTCCTCTCACTCAGGAAATGGCAAGGGATGTAAATCACTGCATGTGGGTGACTGTTTATTAAGTACATGAAAGTGTTGTCCAATTGAGGGTGAAGTGCATGTTGCAATTTCAAGTCGGACATCGCCATGTAGTTGCATGTATTGTATTTGTTCAAATCTGACACAAATGTAGCATAGGAGCAGCGCAAAATCACTTTTCCAGATTAGAGTAAAACTAGCAAAGTTTAATAAATCTAAACATTGGCATCTCTGATATTTACCCAATTTAATTAAACTAGATCCAATTCAAAGCGTTACCCTTTAATCAATCTCATGTGATTAAGCTCAATCTTACAATACATTATCATTTGAAAATATGCTGCTTACACAAATTTAATTGCAATAAACCAGCATGTAAAAATGAATCACATTATCACCACTTTGGCCAAAGTGTGCTTGTGCTCGGATGTACACAGAAGATGTTTGATGTTCACATAACATCAGTGAACTTTGTGACGTTACTCTGAAGTTTTCCTCATACTTTGATTGGCTAACCTCTGCAAACGATTCACTGCACTTTCTCTGCTCTTCATCTTAATTCAAAGAAAGCAAATACCATGTTCATCACAGCATAAATGTTTTGCATGTCCTGCCATGTATAAGCTTCCCTTAGAACAGCGTTTCTTAACCATGTTACTGGCAGACCACCAACACTATGTTTTGGATGTCTCTTTTGTCTGTCAGACCCATTACAGGTCTTTCAGTCTCTGCTTATGAGCTGATGATCACAATCAAGTGTGTTTGGTTAAGAAGACATGAAAACGTACAGAAGCTGGTGGTCCTCCAAGAACGTGGTTGAGAAACACTGCTTGCTTGTACTGCTTGTATTGAACAAAGCTTTGTTGATACCACCTTACAAAATGATCACACTGCTCATAAAAGAGGTTACTGTTAACTTTCATATTTCCAGACACAGCAAACAGTTGAGTCATGTGTTCATTAAACAAATGGCCTCTCCACCTATGACACCTGCAGGACAGCTGATGTAAAATAAAAACCTAGCTTTATAGGTCAATACAATCAGAAACTAAATATATGCTCAGAAAACTCTGGGATTAACTCAGGGAATCCTGGTCTACATATATGTTGTATCAAGATTAAATTAGAAAACATCTTGATTATTAAAATTTACAACCCTTTAAAAAAAAATAAAAATAAAAAAAAAAATAAAAAAAAATACAGAAATTATTTATTTAATTCAGAACTCCGCTAGTACAATGACAAAGACAGAAATGCTTAACAATGCTTAAAGCCTACCTGTTTTGCCAGAGAACAAGCCTGTTCCGGAGAGTTAAGGATCTCATAGTAGAAGACAGAGAAGTTGAGAGCCAGTCCCAGACGAATAGGGTGTGTGGGCTGCATATCTTTCTTACTGATCTCAAAAGCATCCTGGTAGGCACCCTGAGAGTTGGTAATCGTGTCTGTAGAAACATACCAAAAATAAATAAAATATACGAGACTTAATACTAGTGGTTGTGGCAATGAATTGGTTGTTCTGGACAGCAATTCTATGAGAGAAAGAACAAGAAAAGTTCTAGGAATGAAATAATCATTCAATACATTTTCCAATTGGCATTTGTTTAGTAGTTCTTAACTACTTTGACTCCAAGTTTGAGACAACTTAAATATATATGTGTGAGTGTGTATGTATATATATAATATATATATGTGTGTGTGTGTGTGTGTGTGTGTATATGTGTATATATATATATATATATATATATATATATATATATATATATATATATATATATATATATATATATATATATATATATATATATATAAATATATAAATATATATATATATATTTTTTTTTTTCAGCGCTAAAATCCCTTTCGGTGCATCCCTATTTATATTTTTGGATAAATTACTTTAATACCATTGCAAGATGTTATGTAATTCATCTTTTTCTTCTGCCTTCTACACATTAGAACTTTATGGGCAATTTAAAAGGATAACTTAAACATTAAATTTACAAGAGAGAAAATCCTCACTCTCATGTTGTCCCAAAAATAAAAGGAAAAATGAGAAGAGCTAACAAATTGAGCAAGACAATAAAAAGTCATCGAGGTCTAGAAAAGACGGCCAAAATTATGAAATAAGCTTCATAGGATATTTGGGGAATATTTTCAGATTTTTTTTTTTTTTTTTTTTTTTTTAATGATTCTGTATGACCACTTATGGCTACATAGCCTGCCCGAAGAGAAATAAAAGCTGTAGAAGAAGGTCTCTGATAAGGACGAGCAGCTGACTCAAGGAAGGTGCAGAAGATGCCCACAGGCAACTAAATACTCAGCACAGAACCCAAACTCATTCAGCCTGATTTTAAAGTGCAAAGACCCAATTTAGCCTAAAGCAAAAGCACAAGATCCAGTTCAGATATGGTCTCCCAAACACAGACTAAATTTGACTCTCATCCAAGATAGGAACAATGGTGCTTAAATAAGAGGTCTTTGAGGGGGGAAAAAATGCATAAACTGCATAAATTTACAGCCTTTCTGTTCTAGTTGATTTGCAATGGGAAACTCACCCATCTTGTCATCTGCTGCGGCAACCTCTGCGAGATATCTGTAGTAGTCACCCTTCATCTTTAAATAAAAGACTTTGCTCTCAGAGTTTGTCGAGTTCTTGATCAAATATTTGCCCAGCAATGTCTAAAAGAGGGGAGAGAGATGAAATGTAAGCAAAGACTGTTACAACTGAAGCAATAATTCAAGAGGAAATTTGCTTAAGTATAATGGCACTTTAAGCACAAAATAAACAGTTTAGGTACCATGCAATAAAACTGCATAAATAGAAGAATACATTTTTTTTGGATCTAAAACATTCATTCTCGTACAATTCTGAATGGACAACTAAAAGTAAGTCCTGACAAAATGTCTGTTTAAAATATCATGTTAAAAAAAAAAGATTGACTGGATGACTTAAAGACTTCAATTGGTTTATTAATGAATCAATCAGCATTCACCCCTATGAGAGTGGACACACTATACCTACACACAGTTCTGCCCAAACAGCTTACAAAATATCACTTTCATCATAGGTGCCCTTTGAGATTCTTATGTATGACAGAGACTATGTATTAGTTAGCTGCCAGTAGAAAGATGTTAATTGTACCCTTCTGATAAGATGCTTGCTAGAGCGCAAGACATCCTTGAAGTAGATAATCATTCCCTCATTACACGCATGTTCTTAATTGCTTGCTTATCAGAACCGTTGGAGATTTTACTGGGTATTATATGCCCATGTTGAGAATTTCCACATTTATTTAGGTTGTAAATATTTTTTTCTTTAGTAAACTATTCTTTATTGAATTGTCACCGTTTCTTGGTCTTTCCCCATCCCACCGGGTCCTTGTGTTCAACTGTTAATCACCTAACAACATTTACACTAGGAAAGCAATGTGCACAGACTTTCAGCTACCTTTGGAAGTGGTAGAAATTGGACAAACTCAACCCATTTAAAGCTCTACTTACACTGGTATTTAGCATAATTCACTTTTGCATCAGACTGCAAAGGTGACAGGTGCAAACTGGACCAATGATTCAATGACAAATACATTCCAGCCACTTGTTGCCCCATAATGCAAGTGTACTTGTCAAAGGCTTTATGGACATAGGTAGATTGTTGTCAATAGGATCACATGCATGTTTAAAAGCAAACGGCTCTAATATGCACAAAGTCTGTTGTGTTTTACAGTGTAACAGAACTGTTTTTGCTACAGACAGATGATCGTGCACTGACATCAAGCATCTTCTGCAGTTTACCACAACCTGGGCGTTGGTGGTTCAGTGGTGTTGTTAGTTAGACCATGCAAACAAAACTGAAATAAACAGAACGGTGCAGACTTCCTCTACAACAGCCCAGCACCCTCTCTGTTCTGCTTGTCATTTTAAATCATCTGAGCCAGCTATGCACCTTTTCTCTATTGTAAATGAAATCAAATAAATTAAAGAGACTAAATCAAAATTAAAAAGGAAAAAAAATGAAAGTAGAAGACAAACAGGAGTAGGAATAAAAGACCAACGTCATTGCATTTAATCTAAAAAGAAGACAGTCACAATACTCTGGCCCCACATGACCCTGTAAAGCAGCAACCACATCACATGTGCTTCCTAATGCCTGATTTAAACAGCAGGCCTAAGCACTGCAACACCCCTCATGACAATATACACACACACACGCGGATGTGTCAGAATATAAAATCCACTATCACCACAGAGGCAATAAAAATAAAACACTGTTCACAGTGAAGACCTGTACCGTTTTCTGGACTTTGCCAAGCACAATAATGTGTAAATGTGTGACTTGAATAATACATGTGCATAGGTGAGATAAAGAATACTTTGAAACTCCAAGCAGATAATAAAACAAACACTCAGATACAGCTACTGTAAGATGAAGATTAAAGTTCATGTTTTAATTGTAAATATATTTTAGAAAGTAATAATTACTATAAGTGCATATATAAATAACCATATAGCAGCACTTGCTTTACCATTTTGATTATGAATTATTTTGATCGCTTCTTCTTTCTGTGTGGCTTGTGAAAGGTATATAAAATTGCTTAAAAATAAATAAAGATCCTTTCATTACTTTTAATTTTAATTTTCATTTAGTGAACCACTTAATAAACTAAAAAATAAATAAAAGACATAGCTCTATCATTGACGACACTCATTCAACATGCTCAATTGGTCAAAAAGCTGCGATTGTCCTCGACTAGTGTCAATGGTGCAAATCAACCAGCAAAACTAAAGCTGATTTAGAACATTAGTGTATGCTTCATGCCGAAGCATTATCAAGCTAGCAGTTCATTCCAGAAGTTAAGTATGAATGGGAAAGTCCTGCAGGGACCCTAAGGAGCTTTATGAGGATAGAAATAGAGCCTAATGCACTGTCATTTTCAAATCTCCTAATGCAAGTTGAAGTTGTTTAAACACCATTGTTCGCCACAACTAAAGGTTAAAAAAGGACATTATAACCTCACTTTAACATTAATCCGTTTCAAATGCAAGCAGCAAAGCTCTAACGTCTATGAAAGCACAGATCACTTTCATGTTTACCATGTAGTAACTCAGCTGCCACAGCCAAATAAAAAGGATTTTTTTTTTTCATGAGAGCAAAGAGTAAAAACATCAGTCAAAATCCTATAGTAATCACAATTTGGTGATTACTAAAGTGTGGATAGTAAAGTACTTGAAGTTGGGTCATCTATTTATTTTAAGCCTAATAAAAAATAAAGAACATGATTTTAATAGTGCGTTGATGTTTTATGCAACTTTACATACAGTAGTCAACCTTTCATCAAAGTTGTCCAAAAACCATTGAACAACACCCTTTCTAGTCTTCTGAAAAAAGACACATTTGCAGACACATGGTGTAGTTACAGAATATTCCAGCAGGGGCAAACTGGGCCATGCTTACCCAATGACACTTACTATTCAGACAATAAGGGGCTTCAAACTGTCATGCCCTTTGAAACTACACTCTAACGAAAAATCCTCAGTGTGTCAGCGGCCCCTGACATTCCTGTCTTCATGCATTCTCCTCTCTTTGTCTGCCAGGAAAGCAGCTCTTTTAATGCTCTTCCTCCTGTTCTCTTTAACAAAGAGATGGAGAGAAAACTGTGGCCGTCATGGTGCATGTCTATTTCCTGCACCTTGTGTGACGTACAGCCTACAGTATGCATGCAAACATTTACTCCACATTACAGGATGGGCCCCTCGTGTTAAAGGACACCCCTCCATGCAGAAGGATTAGCGGAACTCAATCCTCAAATAATTGTCACTACTAGAAAACAGAGCACACAAACACTAACTGTACAGCAATGCATCACCACAGAAAATGTCTTTAGTTTTATTTGCCGAGGGCAGTTGTTTCAAACTACAAATATTCTTTTTGCTGCATGTTACAACAGAAACTCCTTTATTTAAATTTGTGAGAGAGACAAGGAATGGAAACTGAATTAATGAGCAAATTATAACTAATATATACACAAGTTATCATTTGCTCATCAATTCAGTTCCCATTCCTTGTGTGTTTGTGTGTGTGTATTACACTGAAATATTTCAGCTGATTTACCTTAAAAAGTTAAAGTGATAATTTACCCAAAAATGTCAATTTACTCACACTCTTTATTACAAATCTATCAAACCTGTATGATAGTTCCACAGTAGACAAAAAATAATAATACTATGGAAAACATTGGTTATAGGCGTTCAGCTTTCTTCAAAATGTCTTCATTTGTGATCAACAGAATGAAGTCAGGCAGGTTTGGAACAGGAAAAAAAGATTTGTCATTTTTGATGACAAAATGATGAAAATTTTTTTTGACAATTTTTAGTTTTGGGTGGATTATCCATTTAATCAGAAAGTCAGAGGCTACACTAGAGAACAACCATTACCTGCCAGAGTGCCAGAGTTTTATTTTCTACCATGGCTGACATTTGTCAGTAAATTTGGTTTGATGCTTGTTAATTCCAACTTGCAGAGTTTCTGATCTTGTAGTATAGTCAAACCTTCTGTATTATTCCTTTACCACAATATCAAAACTTGATTTAAACTTTAAACTTGATCAGCTGAGTGAAATGTACATTTTTTTAATGTATTAACTCCATCATTGTCCAATTTAACATTTAAAGGACCATGAAACCCCCGTTTCAGCAGAGTGTTTTCAAACCTCTACTTTGGAAAAAGTAAAAAAAAAACTGGGCGTGTCCAGGTGTTTAGGGGGGGGGGGGGGGGGTGTCGGAGGAGGGAAAGAGGAAAGGTCCGTAAGAATTGGCATAAAAATGGGGGTGTCGGTGTGGGCACGCATTGATTTTCACAGAGGCAAAACAAACACACAGATGCAGAGGAAAAAGACAGTGACTGTGTTTACATGGACATCAGTAATCAAATTATTTGCCAAATTATTAAATGCTGGACTTAATCTGCAGTTTGGCTCTTTCATTCAGGAATTTCCTTCATGCCCCTTGTTGCACATGAGATATTTGATTCGATAAGAGCTGCTGGAAGCATGCCATTTTCATGCAATGTTTGATGCCGCACAGCGAATGAGAGAAAATAAACTTTGCATTCATCAGTAACTTAAATGAACTCGGCAGGTAGCGTCAGAAAGCTGTGTGCGTTATTCCTGTCACAAAATGCAGCAAAAATAATAACCGACGGAAATAGTTTGATTGTGGTGCTTGCATTAAAACACTCAGAAAACTGCATTTACAGCAGATTTTTCAGTTCATAAAACTGAAGTGATGTTAATGTACGATAAATTTTATTTACTTAGAAATCATTTGACCAAGGTCCATCTTTAAACACTGAAAGAGTACTGCTGACGATACGAACTAACTTTGCCTCTGAATAAACAAACAAAGACCACTGATCGCTCACTTACCAAACCTGTAGAGACAGGACAATCAACACCAACTGGAGCTGCGTCTTTATTAAAAGGAGACAAGCAGCAAATCCGGATTTCACCATTTCCAGATGAGAAAAGCTCTCGGGTAAAAATGTTACTTAGACACACATTTCTGCCGCTGTAATTTCTGTCATTTGAAAGGGAGCGGGCGCGCGGTCTAGCAATATCGCATATTCGCGAGGATGCTCTGTGTCAGTTAGTGAGAGAGAGAGAGAGAGAGAGAGAGAGAGAGAG